GGATTTGGTCCAAATATTGTATTGCCTCACCATCCAAGCCAACACAGCTTCCACTGTGCGAGCGAATCCGGGAATATAGTTGAGGAATTGAAAATCGAAACTTATTTTCATGCATTGTCTATATTGTAATCATAATGTGTAGTGTATTGTGACCGACACATGCATGCACGGTAAGGTGAATTCGCAAAAGTTATATAGTGTTCTTCCTTACCTATATGTCACACACTAGGTTCTGACTACTCTGATAACATGCGATGACCGACGGGGAAGACGTTGACAGAATGATGACAGTCAAAACGTTGTCAATGAATACTCGAGTTCGTCGTTGTCCTGCCACAAGTACTAAGAAACTAGCCTGGAATACAGCTATTGAGAATTCCCTTTAGACACGTAGACAGTACAGAATTCTATGTCATCACTCTTTGGCTGTCGGTAAACTTCAGCACATTGCAATGGGAACTCGCATGCGCAGTAATAAGTACCAGTGTGCTCCCCGTGGTGTCAGCTGTATACGAATTATATTATTTATTAAAGTAAAGCATGGTATGGATTTGTTCAATCAAAGACAGTAGAAAGAGATCTTTTCTATTGGGTTCAATTGTCCGTAGACTCCCTGTATTGAGTTTGAAGCATAATAATGACATTCCAGAGGTATACATTATAATGTATAATGGAGACTCGGAGTTTAAATATGTGCATTTCTATTTAGTAATCTTTATTTCAAATTATTACAACTATTATTATTTTTGAATTGTGTGACCCTAACAGCTTAACACAGTACCCGTGATAAGTAGGCACTATTGAGATAATATATATATATATTGTATATTGTTACTATTATAATATTTTTGCGAGTATTAATCTAATACATGGTAGATTAATAAGGTTACTGGTGTATTATCCACAGATCTTAATAGGTTATTAATAAGGTTGATGTGATTTGAGCTGAATCGAGCCGGCATGCAAGATAGTTAGGCATGCTGGATTGATACATAGTTTGTGGGCATGTATCGGGTTGTTGAAGATTTGATATCATAGTTTAAGTGAATTATTTGTACGAAAAACGTTGCTATAATAATTAGCTTCGCTGGCTGCTACTAGCGCATTCAGTCAGGTCAAAGTATTTAAAGTACCTGTCAGCTATTGTGCAGTTATTGATTGTTAAACCGGGAGGGAATTGAGTCCCAAGCGAAGATAACAACACACACTAAAAACGCAAAGGCTCATGGGTAGACACTTGTTTGTAAACAATGACACGCTATGGCCATCTGACGCATGCGCAGGTGACCACTCCACGCTTTAAAAGCAGAGCATCGATTGTTTTAGTTGCTGATTGTCGAGTTAAGACTTTCTTTTCGCATTGTATTATTATTATGATACTGTTTAACCATTGTCATCACCTTGTCTGTATGTGTGTGTGTGTGTGTGTTTTCCTTCACCCTGTGGTGTGTTATTTTTCGCTGTACACTGACTAATCCGCACCGCGGACCCTGCCCAAAGGATTTAAATTGTGACACCGGCTCTCGTTGGCAAACTTGAACAGGCCCGGTGAGAGAAGTGCTACATAGACAAAGGCTAGACAAATTTATTTGTGGGGCGATGTACAACCATATAGTGTAGTGTCTTCCAGCTGTTGTTTTATTTACATATTTAGTACTGGCAGGCACGAGTACATTATTCGTGAACGCGATGTTCCAACAGAAATAAACATATTCAAGACCACTTCTAAGCAAAGGTCAACAAACTATTGTATTCTTCTATTGTTTATCTGCAGTCATTGAACGACACTTTCATGGTATCACAATGGAACTATAAACCCCATGGTATCACAATGGAACTATAAACCCCATGGTATCACAATGGAACTATAAACCCCATTGTATCACAATGGAACTATAAACCCCATGGTATCACAATGATTTACTCGTTATCTTGGAATTCAAATGAGTCTAAATACTGAGATTTCTGTTAAATTGATGCAATATTGCAATACGTATGTTCCCATGCTCCTGCGATTCGGTGCATGTCACGGTGGGATGTTATTAGTAACACTTTGAACTTAGCTGCGGAATCTAGAGTAAAATTCAAGTTAAAATAATAAATTGAATTGTTTTTGCAAAACTGGCCTGATTTAGTAATATTCAGTGTTCAAAAAACTAGTATAACTGAATCTCGTTTATTATTAAAGCAGATTTGAACCTTAATAATTTCAATAAGGTGCAAATTACGTACTTGGTTATTTCTAAGGGGTACATTTAAAATGGAAATGTGCAACATGCACAGTCGTAAATATGTTTTTTTTTTATTCACCCCGTGTCAATGGACCTCATGGCATTTTAGAATTATAGAAAGTGATATATATATACTTATTCAAAAACTAAATTCAGTGCCATTAGAAAAGTATGGTTCGTGTGTTTACAAGTCTGTGATTAATCGTTGCACTTGGCCAAGTGCTTGTTAAATTATAATGGATATCAGTTGAACAGCTCAGGTTTAAATGTCACAAAATTAACATGATTTAACATGAAAATTTGAAAAATAGCTGCAAGATAAAACATTAATCTACCATGGAAACTATTTTACTAAACCGATTACATCAATGATTAGATTAAAACACAAAAAATATTTCTTTTTCCATGCAGCAAAAAATTGGCTTCACATAGAAATCTCGCTATGAAGTTATCTAAAAGGCCTCAAAAACTAGAGACTGTTATGTGAGGGCTTCCGTCTTACGAAGAGGGTTTATAACGTGCAGCTTTAGGAAGGTGTTATGCGACACGTGTGTATGTATCATAGTTAACTGGCATGGCATACGTGTGATTTTTTTTCATTTGTGTGACAAGATACTTTTTCACAGCAAATGTCAAAAAAACACACAATGATGCAAATATTTCAAAAATATATGGCAAATATATACCACGAGAGTACTAATAACTCGATATTAACTATCACTTGAACGATTGTAAAGTAAAATGTAATTCAAATGGTCAACATAACATCCAACGTTGGTGGCACTAACACAAAACACGGGCATTAGTATTAACGGGCGTCGTTGATCATCTCAGAACCGCATCTGTACATGGAAGAATATATGACAAAATTAAAGCGGGACAGTCATCACTTGCGCACGCGCGGGAATTGAGTCCCAAGCGATGATAACACACGCTAAGAACGCAAAGGCTCATGGGTAGACGCTTGTTTGTAAACAATGACACGCCACCTGACGCATGCGTAGGTGACGACTTCCCCGCTTTAAACTTGAAACGACATGATTTTAAAACTGATCATCAATACTGGCGTGTATTTATTTGCCAGTCCTATTTTATCGTGGTTTGTTGCTGTCTACAGTTAATGTCTTGACGCTACTTGAATTATTTGACGTCTAGCTGTGCTGCCACCAACGTACATTTTACAATTCATGCAGCTAACATAAAGACAAGATTGTAACAGTATCCCGACAGAGAGGGGGTATCCCATTCGTAATCACACGCATCATTTGTTTTTTCACCGAGCAGCCTGTCTTCGAATGACATCTATTTGGCCTTTGAATTCCAAAACATCGCGCGTTACATTTACCATATCACTGCATACACGAGCACTATCATTGGCGCTTAGCACAGAGAACCTCTACGTACAACGCGACTACACGATAATATATCAAGTCATTTTGATCTGCCTGGTCGTCGCTTTACTCTGTCAACTGTGGATACTACTAAGCTGAAGACCGTCTTATAAGATAAAAAGGTGGCTGCGCACTTCCGATTAGTCGACTAATTGACCTAACTGAACCTCGACATTGACCATGGGACACAAATCGAGTAAACACGTTGACGAAGGTATGTTGTTTTTTATATGCCATTTAATTTAAACATAGACGATATGCCTGAGTTCGATTACGTACGCAAGCCACACTGCTTGTGATTGTCTATTTGATTACAAACGACAGTCCTATACGATCACTGGGATAATCCGTCGCTCACTTCTGATACTTCCCCCGTATTCACGGACAAGTCAATTACATATTGTACTGCCATCGGGGACGTAACCGATTGCATTTCACGACGATCACAAAACCATTTAGGAAATACCTCTTTACGGTAGCACCAACATTATTTTGTGCGATCAAATGTGTTTGTTTTCACCCGTTTCCGACATATGACGTATCTTAGTGAGACAATGAATGGATTTATAAAATAGCATACCTATATATAGCCACAAGCTATTCGTTTGTGTTTGTGTGTATGCAGGGGGGGGGGGTATTAGAACACGTGGGCTGTATATATATGATAAACGAGGTACAGATTGTTTCACGCTCGCTGATACGAGCACGGGATATTCATGGGTCACCATTGCGAACATAGTTGTCAGTGTTTTGCATCAGAGAATCAGAGTACAGAGAATTGAAAACATTTAAGGCATTTTATGCGATGGATTTGTTATTCTGAACAAACTCACGCGTTATAATGCGTGCAAATATTTTACACAGTACATTACACTACACTACACTACACTACACTACGCTACACTACACTACACTACACTACACTACACTACACTACACTACACTACACTACACTACACTACACTACACGGCATACGACACTACACTACACTACACTACACGGCATACGACACATTACAGCACAACACAAATCAACGCATAATAATACATCACAGTAGCGCAGCAAAACACAACACAGCAACTGCACTGCGCAGCGCGATACAAAGCAACACAACCCACCCCAAAACAACACACCGCACCACACCACAACACAGCACAACACAACAAAAACACACAATGAAACGCTACACGACACAACATTACATAATGCAAATACAACAGTCCACGCAAATCAACAAGTGAACGTCTAAATTCGTCCATTACTCGTCTGAGCACATAATAAGCACGTGTTCCAATCATAGCATATTTGCTAGACTTTCGGGTGTGTCTCACGTATTTCATTTCAGGCTAGCAGTCCCCGATAATGTCACTTGTCATGTATCAATTTAACGACACAGCATATAACCACTTACGATATAATAATAACGACGGCGGTGCATAAACATTGCACGCACGTGGCGCGGTAATGATGGCTGTGTAATTGGTTTCCTCCACACGTCAAGATGATTAACAACGCTATCAAAACTAACTAGTGTACGTCATAGTTTTATCGCCACATCGATGTATTTACCTCGTGGCTGTGGATCAGCTTTAATACCCTTCATTTACGTGTGTGCGTACCTGGTGCTGACACTTACGTACATTACAAAGCGCAACAGTCGTTGTACAGCGCGTGTTCAAATTTGACGTAAATAAATAATTTGACACGCGTTGTATATTTCGCTATGAGTCCAATTTGGAACACGACGCGCTGTTCAGATTGATTGAATACCATTATGTGTTCCGATCAAATAATAACAATATTAATTCAAATATATTTAAGGCGAGTACGCCGATGTTGCACAGTATGCATATACGGAATGAAATGTGAAATATCGAGTGACATACATAAATTCGCAGTGCCTATACGACGTATAGGTATGTTCGGTGATGTTCTGCAACTGACATGTTATTTCTAAAAATGGATCATTATAATGTCTGTTGGGGGGGGGGGGGGGGTGATACTGAATAAGTATTTGGGACTCGGTCACTAAACTTGCTCCCCGCGCTAGGTTCGAAATATTTAACCGGGGTTTCACAGGGGGTACTGCCGCAGTGGACACTTCGCGGGCTGACAGAAGCACGATCACAGCGATAATACTAAACTCGAACACTTTATTATCGCAGAATTCCTGAAGGAACGGGACACTAACATAATGTAACACAATGTCCAGTAGCACGTACAAAACTATGTAGATTTACAATGCAAAGTTCCACGACAAAACTTATAACAGACAGCTCACAGTTAAACAACAACACAACTAGAGAATTCTACTGTTTTTTGGATAGAGGGGTCTTCTATTGAGAGTAAAAGCCCGCGACGAGTCCTGATTGGTCAAACGGCGATCACTCTCGCATCATGAATAAATGGAACAGTAAATCGAAATAATCGATATACTATGTAAAGATACAATAAATGATAACGATAGAAATGATATAATAATGATTGCAAATATTCTCGATGTATTATCGATAATCTCAACGACAATATCATCGAATCTATCAAAGTCTAAAATTTGAAAACAAACATAATTTCGACGACGGCATGCTAAGTTAACGCTGTCACTCGTTTACTCGTATGTCAAATAGTGAAAGGTTAGTTTGGGCTCCGTTAAATTTTACTCCCTATACGTCCCAACGCGTCGTTGCTGTAGTTTGTTTTTGTGTTGTTTCCATCAATAAAAAGTACTGGAAATTATTGCCTAACTCAACCATGATGTGCGTAAATAAAATGGGATAGCGTCGAGTCACAATAGTGTATTCATGATAATATAATTCACGAAAACCGCGGTTTCCAAAATATTTGTTCTATATTTTATTAGCCAACGATTTATTTGAAACTATGTACGGCATGAAAAGCACAACTTGGATAAATAGAGAACTGACAGCTGCAAAGCGTATCAGGAACTTAAACAGCGTTCAGAAAGAAAACGCATTCTTCGATTCTGAGCCACCTATGTTAGTTTTGTCTATAAATAAATCCACTGGGCCGTATCGTTGTTCACAGTGGGATACTGTAATAGGATTTTTGTTATGTGAACAATTATTGTATCGTGTTACCACGCAGTACAATCGACTATTTGCAAGTGACCGTGTTACGTGGTATGTTTGTCCGGGTACATCACAACACCGCCATTTTGTTCCGCCTCGTTCGTGGCCTGTTACTTAAAGAGTTTCCCGGATGTTTATTGATACCTCCTGTAATTGGCAGCGAAATGTTTGATATGAAACGTCGAGCATTAATCGGCAGTAATGGGCAGTAATCGCCACAACGGCGTGCTAACAATATGTATTCCATACTTATAACAACATATACGCACGTGATTCATATGTATTAACTGTACCTGAACATAGTATAAGGGGTTGATTCTCGTGTTATTAAACGTTACGTAAGGTACTCGGGATCATCACGTTCACAAACCTTTCAACCAAACAAAGACACACACAGATGGAATCGTTTCAACCTCGTCCCAGCTTCCTCGTGGAGACTGACTTTATTCCTTTTTCAAATCCTAATCTACTACACGAAAATCTAAGATCTTGAGGCGTGGCCTCCACACATTCCACTCACGTAGCCAATATATACTTTATTAATTGTTCACTATATTGAAAGACTACTCAAATGTAAAACACCGTCAGAATAAACTCGTGGGGTGTCAGGGTTATCATGTGCGGTAAAACAGTCCGTTGGCAAAGTTTCCGTTCAGTACTTTGGATATAGGCCCAAATGATAACACATTATTAGCGAGTGTGAATGATCTCGCCCAGCCTTTCATCAAGTCATAATCAGTGAGTTTAGTCGCAATTGCCAAAATATGAACCGATATCTAAACACATAAAAAAACATAATCACGACAATTGCAAGAAAAAGACAACATTCTGCAAACAAATACAGAAAGACTACAAAACATTGCAGGTGAAACTACTAAATGAACTAGATCCAGAGAGTGTTCCACAAAAACCTTCTGCAACTCCATCAACAAGATGACGGAATAGAAAGAAAATTCACAAGATAACACGTTTCCAACATAACAACAAAATAACATCATGAGTTTTAATCAACGAATTAGGAACAATCGAAAGCACCGAGTTAGAAAACGAAATTACTAGAGCCATAAGTAAACCAAAGAACAAAAGGTCTTGTTGACCAGGCGGATTCCCAGCAGAAATACTAAAAGGGCAGCTTATTGGTGTCATTCAAAGACACCCTACAAGATGAACACTAACCAGATAGTTGGAATGTTAGTTTACTAAGACGAATTCATAAACAAGGAGACCACTACAATACAAGTAACTATAGAGGCATATCAGTTAGCAATACAATAAGGAAACTTTTCAACTCCATATTAAACAACAGACTGATGCAGCATCTAGAAGACAACACGATTATCCATCCACATCAAGAGATTTCCGTAAGAAACACAGAACAAGAGATCACATTCTTACACTCAACTATGATTACAAAATACCAGTCTCACGAGTAAAATATTACTGTTGTTTTGTTGATCTGAGATAATACATAGAATACTTACAGGTCTTTTATATAAACTGTAACAAAACAACGTGAATGAAAATGTGTACATCAAAGATAAGAAATGTATCAAAACAATAAAATTATTCTAATATTAGGAAATCAAACAACATCTGCATTTGAACGACAAAAACAGGTAAATCAAGGATGTCGAGTTCTACCTTCTTCAACATTCACTTTTTGTTTTAATAAATTACACTGATCCACCAATACCAAATAACAAAGAAATGCCGAGTCTGATTCATGATTCATATGCCAGGAAATAGGGTGTTAAAGTAAGTATTGAGAAGAAAAAATCCATAACATTTTTCAAAAATGGATACTACACAGAAAAACTAAACATCAAATATGGTGGTGATACCATAGAGAAAACAACAAGTTGCAGATACCCTAGAGTTACAATCAAGAGTAACGAGAGAACCCGAGAAACAATAATTTCATATCATTAAAAAAGATCTTCGAATCAACATATCCAATCCTATCTTACATAGCACAGGAAAGTTATAGGGTGAATGTACTAGTAAAAACTGGGACAGCACACATACTGAAAAAAATAACCTTTGTTTCTGTAGATAATTACTGAATGTACAAGTAAGTAATACTACCAGAAACATTGGTGTACGAATGGACACCCGACGTCTTCC